TAATAATAATAATAATAATAATAATAAGGGGACTACTGTGGCGGCTATGAAAGTCGTCTTTCCTTGAAGAACTTCTCGCGGCAAGGAGAAGAATAGGGGAGTTTCTAGAAGCCACGAGATATATATATTTTTCTAACTTTGTAACTTTATATTTAAAATATAGTTAGTCGTTATCTAAATCCTCGTCTTATTGCTATCCGCCAAAGGTTTCTCTTACAAAAGTTCTGCTTTAAAAAAATGGAAGAAGTTTTCAGAATTAAACTGGCTGGAAACATGATGATATCTTGCACATTGCTTAGATAAAGGGTACCTATGTAAATCGGGCATGTCCCTCTTGAAATGGTCTCTTGAAATTACAAGCAGTACCTTTAAAAGATTGAATGTGTTTATAGTGTCTGAAACCAGAGGCGGAGTTGTAAAGTGTTTGGAGAAGAAATGTGAACCTCTGATCTGCCAGGTTGGTTTCAGATCAGAGACAGTTTCAACTCTATCCTCAGCTCAGGATTGCTGCCCGGATCAAGTTTGTATTCCAGTGGAACCCAATCCGGTCATTCGGTGTCCGGAGCTGGTCAAACCGGATTGTGGGAGATTTCAACAAGTTAAAACCGTCTTCAATAGTTCCGTGTCGGGCTGTTCAAAACTTGTCTGTGGTAAGTTTAAATATTTTTAAAGTTCTTAAGATTTTTTACTTCAACTTCGACCCCAAATAAGAAGAAAAACTCAAATCAGAAAAAAGAAAATTTAAAAAAGAGTATTCTTTAATTACAGACGGGATTTGACTATAATCAGTATCTACTTAATAATTTTATGTTTTAGCTTCTTGGACCCTGATCATTTTCGTTTTAAGCAATTCAAAACTATGATATATGGGGGACTGAAAATACATCTCTCTTGAATCTAGATTGTATTGAGAGTTGTCCTCCCTTAAACCCAAGTAGTATCCTCCTCCTACCTGGAGAAACCTTGGTAACCTTATCTACAGGCTGTTGTCAGTACCTGGAAAAGAAATGCAACCATATGGATTGTCCTGAGGAGAACAATTGTCCGTCTCATCTTGTCAAAGCTCTCAATCTGACAACTCAAGGAGATTGTTGTCCAAAATATTTTTGTGGTAAGAATATTTAAAATATTTATAAAAGTTTTTTTACATGATTTGTTTTATTTTAGAGATCCCTGCTGACAAATGTGTTTATACAATGAAGAATACTGCAGTGGGAACCATCGTGGTGAAAAATGTAAGTTCACACTAGTTCAAGAGTTCGGTCCTAGTCCCAGCAACCTGTGACTGTCAATCCAAATGTGATCAAATATAAAAATCATTTTTTTACTTTCTTTTCGGCGATTGTACCTTTAGTAAGAAATATCAGAGGTTTACACCATCAGGTTGCGAAGATAAAGGAATTAAAAGTTTTGATTTTGTGGCAAAGGCTCAATTCCTTTAATAAATTGTTGAGGTATTAACCAAAAAGAAAGATTAAATACAAATTTAAAAAACTGAACACTGGTTATTCCAGGGTGAGGATATCAAAGTATCCTGTCTAAAAAGGGAATGGGGTCGGGCATTTTATCCAATAATCTGATTACCTTGGAACTTAGTTTGAAATCAAATCACATCACTAGTTTTCGTTAAGGGACAACATGAGTATATACAACACAAATCCGTCCAGGATATCTCAGTTTCTCGGAGAAAGTTTTTATCATTACTTTGCATAGAAAATTAACTAATTCAAAATCATTCATGGGAGTTTCTAAAAGGAAATGTAAACGTAATTTCAAGTAACCCTCCGTGCTAAGATGGCAATATCCGATTTACAAACATTTATCTGATCAATAATGGGGAAGATATTGCTGTTTTTCTAGGTTTAAAAGCGTTTACTTCTGTTATTTCTGCATTAGAAATGCTCAAGTCATTTTAGTAGAGAAACCACAATTGAAAATAATTATTTTTCAAGATTATAAACATTGATATCCAATTCATACTGGAGCAGACGAATCATTTAAAGGTACCCGTCTTGAATCGGAAATTGCCATTTTTGCAAATAGGGTCACTTGAAATTATGCTTACAGTCCCTTTACAGACCCAATGACCGCTCTGTATAAGGTATCTGAGAGTTGGACGGATGGATCCTGTAGAAAGTGTAAATGTAATCCTCCCCGTCCTCCAACTCAAGACTCTCCAGGTCCTCTTTAGTCTAATTTGGGCATGGGGTGAAGGGAGCAGGAGGGGGGGATAGATAAAACTCCTAAGAATGCGCGAATACCGGATAATATTTTCTTAATTCTCTCTCTCTATGACAGCTTGCTCTGACAGCTTGCTTCTATAGTAATGTTAAGGATGAATACGAATGTTATGAATTTGATATTTTTGATACGAATGTTGGGTTTGATTGTTTATCTGATCTTGATACTTGGATACGAATGTCATGATAGGCTTGCTACGAATGTTGAAAAGGATGGATACGAATGTTATTAATTTGAT